AAGAGAGAGAGAGAGAGAGAGAGAGAGAGAGAGAGAGAGAGAGAGAGAGAGAGAGAGAGAGAGAGAGAGAGAGAGAGAAGCCATGGAGTCCTCCCTGCCTTGACAGCATATAGCTGTCATTGATGATATTGTCCCTCCCAAATTCTGCTGACGTCATCTTTCTTGGGCAGGCCATATCGGAAACAGAAGTTGTGTGGCCGAATATGACCGGTATTCCAGCTGATGCATTTGCAGTTTTGCAGTCATCCTTGTGTGACTAGACCCTCACAAGACTATTATGGGGGCTTTGGAGCGCACCAGTCCTACTTACCCAGTCACATTCAGAGTGTGTGCATGCCAAATGAACATAGACGTAGCTCATGTGCAGGGGAAGCATGCAGTCACCAAGCCGGCACTTGCACTTGCATATAGTTCCATCCCCTCTTCTCTCTCCTTGCACACCAGTTCTTTTTTCCCTCTTCTCTCGTTTCTCGTCTCTCTTCTCTCTTCTCTCTTCTCTCTTCTCACCGCTCTCTTTCTCCTCTCACCGCTCTCTTCTCTCTTCTCTCTTGTCTCTACTAACCGCTCTCTTCTCTCTTTTTTCTTCTCTCTTCTCTCTATTCACCGCTCTCTTTTCTTTCTTCGTTTGTTCTCTCTTCTTTCTTGTTTTGGTTCCCTAGTCTCTTCAATGCCGCCTCCTCATTCTTGTTGTCTTCTTTTGCTCCTCATGATTTTTTTTTCCTCTCTTTTTCCTCATGCTGCTTTCTACATTTCTCAAAGCAGAATCTTTGGCACCACATTTCTTCATTCCATCTCTCCTCTGACCAATTTTTGTTGATGTCTTCTTTATTCTCTCCTCACTCTTCTCCACTTTCTTCTCTGCACCCCTCTTTACTTCTCTCCTCTCTCTCGCTTATTCTCTCTCTCCTCTCTCTTATTTTCTCTTTCGTGGGCTTTTCTTTCGTCTTGTCTGTTTGCTGACAGCATTGGAGCAGTTCTACGTAGCACTGTGTTTGCGTTCAGAGGCGAACACGAACATGTTTGCAAGCTGCTCGCGCGAACACGCGAACATGTTCGCGCGAACGTGGAGGGGCGCGAACACGTTCGCCGTGCTACGTAGGAGCAGTTATGTATCCTACTATCCGTACATCTAGGCCTCAGGCCGCCTCCGTGCAAGCACGGATTCGAACCGGTGACCTTGCCCACAATAACATTGGAGACCATGTGGATTGGTCGCGGTTATTGTGACCATTTTGTGGTTGCCTATAGATCTAATGTAATGCCATTTCAACACTTGTTTTTGCGTGGAGATGATTGATGGATACTACATTGATAGCCGTTGATCTTTTTTTTTTTTTTTTTTTTTTTTTTCCCCTTAACCCAGCCGTTCCACCACCTATGCAAACAAACTTCCTGAATCGTATCGTCATTGCACAACACAAGAACGAAATTCAATGAATTAAAATTTTTAATTTCCATTTTAATTTTTAAGTTATTTAACTTGTGAACCAACAATTCGCCGGGAGTAGATAGGGTTGACCACGTAAATCCCCGAAAGGCCTTCTAGAATGTGTTCCTGGCCAATTTTCAGTCTAGATTCAATCATTCAATACAAATCCCCTGACGAGAGTGAACTCAAATAACTTGTGAACCAGCAAATAGTCCTGATGATTCCTCTCCTCCACCCCCCCCTACACAAATTGCCCAAAAAAAAAAAAAAAAAAGACCACCTGGAATGATGAGATTCAAAAGAACTTCAACTTTAAAAAAGAACCGTTCACCCTTCACTGCTACCATCTTCCTCTGAGTGGAACGTACAGCTGTTATAGCTGTACAAGGGCCAACTTTCGGTCTAGATACAGAATCAATTGCCAGATATTCTTTTCGGAGGAAGACGGTGTGAAGCAGTAACAACTAGCTGTACTAGGGCCAACTTTCGGTCTAGATACAGAATTAATTGCCAGATATTAAGCAGTAACCACATATGGCATTTTAGCCAATGGCAGCTTAGTGCCGGTGCATCCTTGGAGAAGTAGGTCCCTCTCTCCTGATGCGTCTCTCAAACCAAGTGTTATGCAGTGGGTATAAATAACCATAAACTACCGTCTTCACCGAATAGATCGCCTGGTCACTATCGCTGCATCTGGACTGAAAATTGCCCCAAATGCAGCTATAATGACAGGGCATTCTGTTCAGGTGAAGACAGTGGTATAAAGTTAACCCCCCCCTTGATTCTCCAAGATAGGGCAGCTTAGTGCCGGTGCATCCTTGGACTGAAAATTAAACCGAAATGAAACAACTGAATAAATACAAGCTGTAGGCTGTATAGCCAATACCCAAGGCATCATTAAGTTCATTAAGCAGAGTGTTCGTAGAAGAAGCCAAGCCAATGAGTGAGTCTTTCTAGAAGAATCTTTCCTGCTGATTACCTTCCTTCACCCAAGTACACTGTGCTTAATGAACTTAATGATGCCTTGGGTATTGGCTATACAGCCTACAACTTGTATTTATTCAGTCGTTTCATTTCGGTTTAATTCTTGGACCTTCTTTCTAAACATTGTTACATTCTTTTATTTTTTTATTTTTATTTTTTTTAACATTGTTACTTTTTTATCAAGTCTTAAAAAAAAAAAAAAAAAAGTCGTTTAGTACTTTTTTTGGTTCGTTGGGGATTACTTGCATCTGTTCATAGCTTTGCCACCATGCATGCAATGGACGGCGTGCGGAAAATTCCACACGTTAGGTGCATGAGCAGACCCACACGGCATGTGCGGCGCACTGGGGAAATATTCACTCAACAGAAAAAAAAAAAAAAAAGGGGTGGCACGGCAGCTGGGTCAATGGTCGCCTGCGTCCCATTTAAAGATTTGTTGTGGGGATGGGAAAAAAAAAAAAAAAAAAACTAGTGGGAGGGTTATGCTGCTTTGAAAATACCAGTTCCTTAGGTGTTGCACTCCTGTGTATCTACAAAAACTGTTTTGAAAAAACAGCCCCCCCNCCCCCCCCCCCCCCAAAAAAAAAAAAAAGAACAAAGGGAAACTGCCGCCGGTACGTCGTACGAGTAGGTGTCGCGCCACACGCCGTGCAGCACACCGCACGGTATGGCGCACGGTGCGGTCGCGTGTATGTTTGCCACAGATTCGCAGCGCGGAATGTTAAAATTTTTCAAATGAAATGACTAAGTAAAACAAAAAAGAAAAAAGAAAAAAAAACGAATTTTTATCTTCTTCTCTGCTTCCTCGTTGCCAGCCAAACAGGTGTCATGCTTCCATTGACGGCGTGCACAACTGGCATGGTTATAGACCGATCACTGTCATCTTAAACCACCAGTACATGGGCGCCTGTGCCGCGCGCCTGACTTCTCAAATTCTGGAGGCGCAAAACAAAAAAACGCAACTGCCGATCGCATTTATCAATGGCACGCCCAGCATTTGACATTTCGGCCTCGCTCGTTTTCTTGTGGCGACAAGTTTCAGACGGCAGGGCTGGGGCCGCGTACTAGTGGTTTAACGCTGGTCAATTTTTGAAACGTTTTTTTTTGTTTTTTGTTTTTTTTTTGGGGGGGGGGGGGGAAGGGAGGGGGGGGGACAATGCTCCAATCTATATTTGTGGGGAGCCGCAAGGGGTAATGGTCAATTTTTGAAACGTAATGTCACTCTCCGACTGAATCTCATGGTGGTGCCATTTCATGCAGGTCGGTCAAACCGATTTCTTAAGCAAGAGGTGAAATTGCTTAAAACTCCCTTGGCATGCAAAGTACATACGCAACTTGATCCTCAAGCGGTCACTGACGGAGCGGTCACCGACGGAGCGGACACGACAAAGAAGGTTGTGAACGAGCGACCGCAGGACGGCAGCAGGGGTGCGATCGACGGGAGCAGCGTTCCGATCAACGGCAGCAAGGGTGCGATCTACGGCAGCAGGGGTGCAATCCGCGATGCTGACATCAGCTCTCGGGATGAATGGCTTAATGGTGCAGGTGGCAGTGATTCGCCGAGCAGCAACGATAGGTGTCGACATGGCTTTCGGGAAGATGGTCGCTGTGCAGCGATGGAGAGCGAAAGTGAAAAACTGGATGTCTTTGCTGGCGCCACTACGTGTCTTGATGTCGTCATACGAGTGGATGCAAACACAGGGAACCTTACAATTCACGTTACGCCGGAGACATCCTGAAAAGTGGTGGTTATTTGAACTTCATTCGGAGTTTTTCATTTCCCTTCTTTTTTTTCTTTTTTTTTTTCCCTTCTTTCTTTGGTTTGCGTCCTTGGGAAGCATACACGTAGTACGTCCACATGCTGCTGAGGACTTCCTCATTTGGTGGCATCCTGGCACCGGTCGGTGCTCAGCGTGGACATGGAGGGATGTGGATTGATCTTAGCTTGGAGATCAACATGGAGCTGGATTTGGCCCCGGTCATCAACCCGGAAGCAACACAATGAAGCAGTGAATAAGGTGAGAAACACAGGGAACCTTATAATCATTCACATTATGCCGGAGGCGCTCTCTAAAGTATGGAGAAATTTCAAATTTTGGTAATTTTAACTTATCTTCGACTTCCGTTTGCTTTCACCAGCACCACTAGCACTGTAGGGGGCACAAAAAAAAAAATCTTCGACTTTTGGCTTGCCTCCTTGCGAAACGTACACCTGAAGCGCCAATACCTTTTTCCCATATATGGGCCACAGGCCCGCAATTGCCCTGTGCACCAGAAAAATTTGAACCGACGTGGATGTATCTGTCCTGCAGCGTTTAGCTTTGGACATGGAGGGATGTGGGTCTATTTTTTTTTGGCTTGGAGATCAATGGGGAGTAGTCAATGCTGGCACAGCCAAAATCATATCTTGCTTTCAGATGGTTCCTCAATGGGTACAATGTGTCTGGGATGCTGGGCCAGTTTTCCAGCAGGTGCTGATCCCCACCAATAGATGGAGCACTCAAATTAAAAAAAAAAAAAAAAAAAAAAAAA